TGGAAGGTGTGAACAAATGCATGTGCAAGCTACCACCTCAGCTAGTCCCCCTTCATAGAATCACAGAAATAGTTAGATAGAGGGAATGTGATCTGTTATATGCATGGTTACAATGAACACATATGTCAATGCTAACTACCTTATGGTCCTCCATCTTGAGTAATGTTAAAGAAAGCCTTGAGGCACTAAAGTTCCATGAAACCATTTTGGGCAACAAGCAAAGTCTTCTATATAAGCCTCACTCTCTTCACATTGAAGGTAACTTAATGGAACTTAACTTAATACAACTTGATTCAATACATATAAACTCAAACACTCTTTTTTTTCCCTCTCTCTACACCTATATGGAGCTTTTCATCTTCTCTGATCACTCATTCCCACACCAGAGGGGTTTTTCGGCCAACCTCGGCCACGCAGTTCTGACGGTGTTCTGTGTTACAGGTCCCCAGTTCCTAGATAATCAAGTCTAGCTGCGGAGCTCCGATTCACTTTCATATAATGCGGGATTCAGTACACATAATTGGTGCGGTGAGCATGGATTCTTCATTTCTAAGCTCTATATCTGATTCCAGCAATGGAAACTAAGAACATTCCTTCCTCTGCATCAACTCCATTGACGGAGAAGACGAAGGACAAAGGCCTGGCGCTGCCAACGATTCTAGAGGAATAGACCAAAAATAATAATCGGACTCTAGATTCTGTTGAGCATCTCCAGCCTTTTGTTGGTGGCTTCTCCTATCATTTCATATTGAAAAAGGATTATAGAGATCGTATTATCGATTCTATGGAGATGGAGATATAAGAACTGAAGGCACAACTTAAAAAGATGATGGGCGACCCAATGGAGAAAAGGACCGACGCAGAACCTTCTCGTCCAGAGGAGTTTATCTCTAGAACCACTGGTGAAGGATAACTCTATAAATGGCTCTGGGCAGTGAAGTCAGCCAATTCTGGTACACAGTGAAGCAGCGAGCAGCCATACTCGTGGTTTACGTCGAAAGAAGGTAAAAATACAGAAAATGGTCAAGTAACATACGGAGTATCCACTTTGTCCCCAAGATCTCTGTACTTGGTTGATCGGGAACAAAGAAAATGAACAGCGGGAACGAGATGCACAATATCTCGATCACACTATTCATCAGAGGGAGCACCAAGCACTGGATCAGCTCGTCTCTTCTATTTTCTCTCTAAACATTGAAGCCTTGGAACTTCCTAAGAATTCACCCCGCCGAAGTTCACACCACATGATGGGAATTCAGATCTACTCACACACATCAGCCACTACCGATAGATGATGTCTCTGTGGAACCGAAACGATGCACTCATGTGCAAGGTCTTTCTGTACAGCCTAGGAGAATCCAAACTTTGATGGTTCGATCACCTCCCTACTGGATCGATTTATGACTAGAAACAACTCTTGAAGGAAATTTTAGCTAGATTCGTTTCCAACACCAAAATCTCGAAGGAGTTAGACACCTTGTTTAGCCTCCGAAAGGAAAAGAAGGAAACATTACGCAATTATGCAAGGAGGTACTGGAGAGAGTATAATGAATTAGAGAAGAACGTTTGCAGTGAGCAGATAACAGTGATGTCTTTCAAACACGGTTTGCATCTAGAAGTAAATTGAGATAGTGTTTACTAAGTGCCGAGCCACTACCCTAAAGGATTTACAAGCTAGGATTGAGCAGTACGCTTGTCTTGAAGATGATCAAATTCTTATTGAAGTGGCATCAATTGAGCAGCCGAACCGTGGGGACTGATAAAGAGTGGATTGGAGAAAACCCCGTGAAGTTGTAGAAAATGAGGTAGACAAATCTAAGTTCCATGAAGCGAATCCATATCAGATTAAAACGGTTCAAGAGATAGAAATACCGAAGAAGGCCAAGGAACTTCAGAAATTGGCTGGATGGCGCCAGTGCTGAACTGACTTATTAGTAGATCCTCGACCGAATGAAGCCTTTTTTTTTTTCTAACTTCTAAAAAAAAATGCATCATTTGAATGGGGACCTAAGTGCATCGAGGCACTGTAGGACCTTAAGAAGTACCTCAGTTCATCACCTCTCCTTTCCACTCCAAAACCAGGGAAAACACTATACCTGTATTTGGCAGTTTCAGATCATGCAGTAAGCGCGGTATTGATTCACAATATTGAAAAGGAACAGAGACTGGTATACTACATCAGCAAGATTCTTTTGGATACCGAGATGCAATATCTAGCACTCGAAAAGTTAGCTTATGCTCTGCTCATCGCATCGAGGAAACTTCAACACTACTTTTAGGGCCATATCATCAACGTCCTTATTGAGTTCCTCCTCAGATCTGTCTTCAGCCAAGCCAATTTCTCAAGTCGAATGGCGAAATGGGTGGTTAAGCTTGGCGAAATTGACATTCGGTATTAGCTCAGAACCGCAATTAAGGCCTAGGTCTTAACAAATTATGTCGCCAAATTCGCCTCCCACCTTGAGCATCGTATATCCGAACACCAACTCGGTATTGGTGCGCCACGCACCACTAAGCTGGGAAAACAAAGTTCTTCAGAAGCATGAAAACTCTTTGTTGGAGACATCTAAAAACTTTACGTTGATGGATCATCTTGTAATTGATGCTCGGGACGGGGGTGGTATTAATCTCTCTAAAGGGATTCATTTACAAACAAACTTTGAAGCTTTGACGGAAAATCTCTAACAATGAAGCGGAATACAAAGGACTACTAGCTGGTCTACGCGGTGTCGAGCACTTCAACATAGACGAGCTCCTAGTTTTAATCGATTCTCAGCTAATTATCAATAAACTTACTGGGATCTACGAAGGAAGATATGACCAAAAGGCCATGTATATAGACAAGGCCAGAGGTTTGATCAAGAAATTTCAGTCTATACGAGTAGAACGAATCAATTGAGACAAAAACAACCATACTAATTCCCTAGACTGTCTCGGCTCATCAATGGACACCAAAGATGCCAGAAAGATTTGGGTTAAGTTTGTGCCAGAACTAAGAATTACGTTTTAGGATCCGGTCTTTTGTACTAACTTAGGACCGAGCAAGATGGATCCAATACTTGTTTTTCTGAGATTTGGCACTCTTCTCGAAAACAATAAAGAGGTTAACAAAGTTCAACATCAATTAGCTCGATTTTGGATCTCACCATTTGAGAAACTATACCAACGCTCGTACCTTAGCCCCTATTTACTATGTATGCATCCAAATCTAGTCGAGAATGTTCTCTACAAAATTCACGCTGGGATTTGTAGAAGCCATGTTGGTGGAAGGTCGTTGGTGCACCGTGCCCTAACCCATGGGTACCGGTGGCCACAGACGTAGAGAAACGCATAGTAATACGTCTAGAGATGTGACAAATGCTAGAGGTTCGCTCCTCTAATCCATCAGCCAGCCAAAGCTCTCACCCCGCTCACCAGTCCTTGGTCATTCGCTCAGTGGGGCTTGGATATCGTCGGGCTTCTAGCACGGGTGGCACAGGGGACTAGGAACAAAAAATTCTTCATCGTTGCAACCGACTATTTCATTAAGTGTATGAAATTGGAAGCATTGGCAAGTATCAAGGAAGTAGACATAAAGCGGTTTGTTATGAAGAATGTCGTGGTTTGTTTCAGCATTCAAGGGTACTAATTGTAGACAATGGAACATAGTTTGACGAGAAAACTTTCAAGAAGTTCTGTGTCGATCTCTAGATCGAATATCGGAACTCCTCTCCGGGCTATCCATAAAGCAATGGGCAGGCAAAGTCGTCAAACACGACTATCATTAATGGCGTGAAGAAACGGCTTAAAAGTGCAAAAGGAAAATGGGTTGAAGAGTTACCCCATGTGTTGTGGGCTTACCGAACGACGGTACAATGCTCAACCGGGAAAACTCCCTATTTCTTGACCTATGAAATAGAGGCTGTTATTTCGCTAGAAGTTGGTCTCCCAACCGTCCGATCAAAATAATTTAAAGATGCAAGTAACAAAGAAGTCAACGCTCAAGAACTGGATATAGCAGAAACCGAAGAGAAGCATCACTGATCAGCCTTGTAGCCTATCAGCAGTAGCTTATCAAGAGTTTCAACAAGAAGGTCCTCCTAAGACAGTTTACACCTGACGAATTTGTTCTGAGAAACCTTATGGACCATAAAAGGGTTCCTGGTGAAAGAAAGTTATGTCCCAACTAGGTGGGGCCCTATAAGGTTAGAGTCATTGCTAGAAATAGATCATATTTTCTAGAAGATCTCAAGGGCAAAGCTATACCTCAGCCTAAGAAAAAAGAAAATCTCAAGAAGTATTATAAGTAATCCTTCTTCCTAAATATCTACCAAAATGTAAATACATTTCTCTTTTGATTAATGGAAAGAGTCTGTCTACTTCCTTGAACTATTGTTTCCAATACCTGTACAACCTTAAGGCTAGAACTGATTGATAATCAACATAGGCCTTTAAGATCCAAGTTCTAAAGCATAGTTCAAACTAAAGGTGGTTTGGACTAAGGCAAAGTTAGCAATAACTCTTGAAATAAGCTTTATTAGGAATGAACAGATTTTTAGCAAAGTCAAGGAATGACTTTCGGAATTAGCTTTGGTTTTAATCGAACGGAATTAGCTTCAGAACGACCGAACGCAGTTATGTTTGGTTTGCACTCAAACATGCTAAGTGGAATTATGTTTGACAACAAAATAGAACTTAGCTAAGTGGAATTGCTTGGTGGAAACCACACTAACAAATTAGCTTCGGGACGACCGAACGAAATTAGCTTCGAAACGACCGAATGCATTTATGGTTGGTTTGCATTCAAACATGCCAAGTGGAATTGCTTGGTGGAATTATGTTTGGAAACCAAATGGAACTTAGCCAAGTAGAATTGCTTGGTGGAAACTGCACTAACAAATTTTTTGAACATGATTATTTCTTTTCTTAAAATCACATGATTTACAGCGCCACAAATGACTTTCTCTTAAGTACAACTACATCAAAATTCAACGCTTCAGTTCTGCATCATGCAAACAGAGTTGGAACAGAATCGAATAATTCTTTCAAGAGCAAACTTCCAGCACAAGCCTTACTCAGCTCCAAGTGGAGGCAAACAATTGAGTAAAACACTTCTTTGTGACTTTGTTACATCCAAGCATAATCATGTAGCACATCGGATAACTAGGCTGAGCTCCAGTGCATCAAAAAAAAATGTAAAACCTGAAATTGTCCCAAGGATCACTTCAACTTTCATCAGAAGGAGGAATCTCAGAAGCTGGGTCCACAGCTTTGTCCAAATCACCATTGAGGAAAAAAGCATAAACAACACCACTGTCTTGGGAGACAGGAACTTCCTTAGCCTCCTCCTCTGCAGCATTAACCTTTGGGGTCCTACCTTTTCCAGCATCCACCAGCTTGTGAGCAACATCACTCTCTGGGGTCGTGTTGGCAAAACCAACACTTGGGCAGATCTTTGATTGCGGAGTTGCAAGAGTTGTAGCAGCTTTCAAACTTGAGGACTTTGAAGGAACATGAACGTCTTGTAACAAAGGGGACTCCTTAGGAACTTGAGTAGTAGCTAGGGCACTCGGCCATCCTTTGAGGAAGAGCTTGTCACGCAAAACCAGCACCTCCTCATTATAAGTTGCACCAGCCTCATCCTAACCTTGTTGCCAGTACTTAGCTTCTAGAGTTGAACATTCAACAGCTGTTAAGGCGATAACAGTCTCTAGCTCAACAACCTTTCCCTCAAGTTTGACCTGGGTATTGACAGAAATTTCATTAGATTTCTCAACAGAAGTAATAACCTTGCTCAATCGAAAATTTTCTCTCTCTGCAGTTCTTCGGTCCTCCTTCTTAGCCTCTAAATTCATCGTCAACCTTTCAGAACTTATCACGGCCTCCAGTACGGCCTTCTCTAATTCTTCAGGATAGGTGATGGATAGGTGCATCCTCTGATGCACTGCAGTAGCAAGAGACAATAAGAAAATATAATAGCTAGACAGAAAAACAATAGAAAAGATTACTAAGGCACTTACAATAGTCATCATTTGCAAGGTTCCCTTTATGATGAGAATATCATGGGGTCCATTGTGGTCTGCCATGTCCACTAGCAGCAGTAAAGTCTTGGTAAAATCAAATTCGAGTTCTCTAGATGAAATAACAGAATCAAAAGTTGAAATGGGCCTACCATGATGTAGCATGGGCGTTTCCCACTGTTCAAAAGATTCATCAACCATAGGCTCTCTAGAAGCCTCTCTAACCTTATTCTTACCAGTTTTTCTCCTTCTCTTCCTAGCCCATTCAGCAGTTAGGGCTTCAGATCTCGGAATAGCAGTAGTGGGGCTAGCAGCTCTCACCTCTAATTTAACTTTCATTAGAATTTTCAGCTCGGCCTTCACTCCGGAGTCTCCAGAGCCGAAGAGAAGCCAAAAGCCTCCGCCTTCAAATCCATAAGCAACCTTCTCTTGGACATTGATCCATCTCTTGTGGAACTAGGGATAGGAAAAAAAGTCATTTCGGTAAAGAGGCTATGAGTACGACAATGATTGGTAACCAATAGAGCATGGGGTGTATCAGTTTCAGTATCAGAGTCAAGCAAAGCTGTAGCAAGCTTCACTTTCTTGGGAATAGTAGTTCAGTAAGTGCCTTGGTAATCTAGCAGTTCAAGAGCGGATCTCTTCTTGTATAGTAGTGTGGCCTTAATTGTTTCAGTATTTTCACGATTCGGTCTTCTCTGGTAGCGAGAAGATTCTGCAAAAACAGGGGACACCATTAGCATAGCATTCAAACAGAACACAAGTTAAAAATAGACAAATCAAAATACGAAGACAGAAGATTCAGACCTGGATAGCCGTCCTTCTGAGGCATCTGTTTGGACTGGAACTTAATTCCAGTAGGGAACCCCTAGTTCATACTAACTTGCAGGAAGTCGTCATTATGCTTATCCGAATCGAGCAAACTAGCGACAAGGTAAGAGTCAATAGAATGAAAACCAAGGAGCATGTGCTATGGTCTTTGTTATGCGAAAGGGTGTAGCAGCCTAAGATGTCCTAGACATCCAAGTTCAAGGCTAACCATCTGTTTAGGGTAGAAACGCCACAGATGACGTGAAATAGATTCACAGAAACTTGTATTGGGAAAAATTGAAATTGGTGTAGAAAACAGCGGATCAATGGGTCTAAGGGGAACCGAACCCCTTATTCGACAATGGCAACAACCGAAAATGCATCAGTATTTCTTGTACCCATACGTTTGGCATCAATCTTAGCCAACGTAAGAGTAACGTCATCCGGAATACCGTAGTCACGACGGAACAAGGCCATCGCTTCTAGGGTATCAACTAAAGTATGAAACTTACCTATAACCTAGACCAAGAACGACAAAGACAAAGCCACACGAAGAGAAAGGTAAAGAAATAACATGAGTTGCCGGAAACAGTGGTGCTAAGGCCATTAATGACGATAGAGACCGTAAAATGAAAGAAAAGAAGAGGTTCAGAAGAATTTAAAACGATTTGATGAAGAACGATGACAAACAGAGGTCTTGCAAACTAGAATCGAAAGAAGACAACAACTTCTGGAACTAACAGCAATGGTGGCAAGCGTCGAAGTGGAGCACCATTGGAACCACAAGAACAGAATGAAAAGGTTTTTAGGATTTCAAAAACTAGAGAACCAATGAAGAAATGAATGTGTAGGTCTTAGGATATTTATGACCCTTGATCGACGTGATGATACAAATCATATCATTCTGCAAGGAAGTGACATACGATCTATACGTACCAACACCACAATGCTATGTGTCATTGTGAAATGATGCATGCAGAGCATGTGTGTCAGAGATAAACAGCCACCAAGGCCGAACCGAGGAGAAACTAAACCGACGCGACGGTTGGAAAACGGAACAGTATCTCACCCCATGGGAAACCTTAGCGCGAGCTAGGGGAAAATGAAGGGGTAGAATATAAATAGGTCAGATCCAAGCCTTGGGCCAGTCCAATCCACTAAGCCCAAGCCCAAGAGGGCCAGACAAGTATATGGGTGAGTCCATTGAGCCTACCTCTATGAAGGCAAATGTGTAAAATTGTATGACTACCATTATCCAGGGGTTTTTAGTTTAAGGTTCCTAATATTAAGATTTTATTAGATAAAGAATATACAACATTTACATAGTAGTTGGGATCACCCAATATTTTCATGGAGAGAAATTTCCAACTCTTCACAGGAAAATTTCTTTTTTCCTAGAGAAATTTCTCCGTGACAAACTGAAATTTCTGTAATAATATTATTAAAGGACATTAACAAATAAAAAAAAAACCTATTGGACCTCTCATACTATCAAAAGTTAGAGAGGGATGTTTCACTAATTTTTTTGATAAATAATTCATTCTATTTTTATTTATTTATTTTTATGATCTACACAAGAATTTTAAAAATGAATGAAATGAACAAACAAAACAAGGGCCAACACTATCTAGTGTTCTCTCTTAACTAAAAAGAAATTGGACTTGTGCGTACCAAATCCCGTAATATATCAAAATGGATCGAAGCTTCGTAATTGGATTGTATTATCTAAGAACTGGGGACCTACAACACAAAACAATGTCAAAGCTGCCTAGCTGGGTTGGCTGGAAAACCCTTCCGACGTGGGAATGAGTGATTGGAGAAGATAAAGAGCTCCCTCTAGGTGTAGAGAGAGGAAAATAAATAGTGTCATGACCCGAACCCGTCCCTAAAAGTTTGTGTCATAACCGACCAGTAATTCGTGGATTACCGAAGGCCTCAAATAAACATACAAAATATTTACGTTAATGGGGCCATAACGGAAGCATATGATGAGAAGGAGTCCATTGAGCTGTGCCAATCATGAGCAAGATCATTGAGATAACCATGTAACACATTAATACATTTAACAAGCCAACAAGCCAAAAGAAAAATTGTACATAGTGTTTACAACCCAAAACCATGAAAGCAAAAACAAAATAAGATCAAGATGTGGTGTGAGTCAAGACAAAACTCCATCTTGGAAGCAGACTCGATTGGGTCTCAAAAAGAATAGCTCCTGAAGCTGACTTTAGGAGTGTGTTCCATGCTACAGATTACCTACATGTGCATACATAATATTGGATGAGCGAAGCTCAATGAGTAATAATATAGTAAACAACGTAATAATCATAAGATTCTCACAATATGCATAATCGTGTAATCAAAACGGCCTCGGGCCCAACATTTATTAAAATGGCCTTGGGCCCAATTTGCTCATATCAAAACGGCCCCAAGCCCAATCTGTAACAACCCCGACCCATGATTAACATTAATCCATGCTTAATTATACCTAATAAGTAATTAAAGTGAAATTTTGCATCATATGTTGCCTTATTTGTGTCTATATCTGTTTAACGTAGAAAGATTTGTTTATGTTTTCGCTTCAGTTTGTGAATTAAAGGCCTTATTGGCATCCGATTCAGAAATTGACTTGATTTATGTGTTAATTAGAATTTTTAGAATTTTATGGTAGGTTCAATTAAAATTCAGTTCAGAACGATTAAATTAAAATAATTTAATGTCCAAATTAATTAGTTGATCAACAAATTAATTAAGCCATTAGTCAAGCCTATATAAGGCTCCCATATGTGCTTTCACTCTTTCTTTTTCTTCATTTCAACACATTTGAGCTCACACATGCACAACCAAATGTAGGAGAGAGAGAGAGAGATGGAAGAAAATTGAGATCCAAAGCTAGGAAAAAGGAGAATTCCTAAGAATTATTGGAGGGATGCAAAGAATTTGGGAATTGAAGCTTGTTCACTAGTGCAATTTAGACTCTAAGTAAGAATTTTAGTATTTAACCTTGTAATGTAGTTGATTAATACATGGAAACAAGTGAATTAGGTGAATTCATATAGGAATTGAGCTAGAATTGAAGGAAGTTAAGTCATTCCATACATGCATACATATTTCATAGTATTTTGAAGTTGTTTTCAAAGATTTCCTCTCATGCATGTTGTAATTCTAGCATGGTTTGAAGAATACATAACATTTCTCACCATTGGACCTCATTTGATCATGTTTTGGAAGCTATGAACTCAAGTGAATATATGCATGTCATGTTCATATCAAGTTCTTACATTTCAAGTTGAATTTTGCACAATTGACATGCTTTTGGGCCTTGATTTCATGATATGATCTTCAAATCATGATATTTTACAAGTTCCTAAATGTTTTCTAGAATTTTGGCCCAAAAAGATGAGTTTTGAGGTAAGGAATTTGAGTTTAGAGCTTGGGAATGCAATCTAGAAATTCTAGATTCTAAATTTCTATTCGAGCGACAGATTCTGCGCTCGAGCGTCCACCTTTGTTTTTGCACAACTACTCGATCGACCTTAAGTCTGCTCGAGCATGAAATGCATGCTCCCAGAAGTTTTCATGTTTTGCAGACCGCTCGAGTGACAAGAGTTGCGCTCGAGCGAGGGCATGGGTCTCACGCTCGAGCGAGAGTCAAGCGGCCATCGAGCGGAGATTTCACATAACCAGTACTTTTGCAAAGTTTACAGACCTCTCGAGCGGGAAAAGTTACGCTCAAGCGTACCCTCACATGTTTGCATGTCTGCTCGAGCGAGGGAAGTTGCGCTCGATTGGGACCCCTATTTTCAGTAAGTTTTGTTAAATGTGTTTAAGTGCATTTTAGCATCCTCATTGCATCCTAGGTACTCATAGGCCATGATTAAGACTCAATAAGAGGTTAAGACTTAGAAACACACTAAGAATGAAACGAAAGAAGTTAAGTACCAACCGAGTGTGTGTTTCATTATGTGTTTCTGCTATGTATGTGTAGGCCACGCGTCTCAAGTTATTTGATTTGCCTATTCTACAAGTAGAGCCATTTGTGAGTAATAACTTAGTAAAGCTATGTTTAACTTTAATTATTTTCTGAATGATATGAATTAAGATATGTTTCATGAAATGTTATATTATGTGTAATGAATGATTGTCTAAGTTTCTGAAATGTATTCGTGGCATCTCTGCTATGTATGTGTAGGTCACGCGTCTCAAGTTATTTGATTTGCCTGTTCTACAAGTAGAGCCATTTGTGAGTAATAACTTAGTAAAGCTATGTTTAACTTTAATTATTTTCTGAATGATATGAATTAAGATATGTTTCATGAAATGTTATATTATGTATAATGAATGATTGTCTAAGTTTCTGAAATGTATTCGTGGCATCCTTAACACAAGGCCCTAGCTCGGGGGTAACAATACTGTGCCTTTATAAGCAAGGCCTTTTCCTGGGGGTAATAATACCGTGGTCTGATGGCCCTTACCCGGGAGTAACAATATCGTGGTTCAAGCAAGTTACAAGTTTTCCCGGTACCAGAGGTTCCCAATAGAGCTACCAAACAAGTTAATGCTAATGGATGTACCATGTATAACGAAGCATGAACTCTGATTTCTGTATGTAGTTAAACAAGAACATGAATATATTTGTTTCTATTATGAACTCTGATTTCGATACCTGTTATAGACATCATTCATTTAAAACCCTTTACTTTTAATTCACTGGGTTCCAGCTCACTAATTATTTTATGTATGTAGGTAAGCAGGCACGTGACCAGGTTCAGAGTTGAGGACCTGGCATCTCAGTTTTTTTGTCAGCCACCCTTCTGTGCCTCCCAGGGAGGTTCCCTTTCGAGATGTTTAGTTTTGTAACCTTACTACAGATGTTTTTGCTTATTTGCTTATTCGTACACTGGGCTAAATCCCCTTTTGATTTCATTTTTATGAATGGGTGACGCATGATTAATGTATTTATGACGTTATATATATATATATATATATTTTTACAAGTTTGTTTTGAAGATTCTTTTCTCATATATGTTAACACAGCTCTATGGACATTGTATATTCTCTATATTTGCTTCCGCAGCCCCTTACCATATGTTGTTCTGTCAAGAGGCCTTTGGTAATCCAAGGATTACTGGTTACCATATGTTGTTCTGTCAAGAGGCCTTTGGTAATCCAAGGATTACTGGTCGGTTACGATGCTAAACCTTTAGAGGCGGGTTTGGGTCGTGACAAAATCGTATATCAAAACAGCCTCGGGCCCAATCATATATCAAAACGGCCTCGAGCCCAACATTTATCAAAACAGCCTCGGGCCCAATTTGTACATATCAAAACGGCCTTGAGCCTAACATTTATCAAAATGGCCTCGACCCAATTTGCACATATCAAAACGGCCTCAGGCCCAACATTTATGTATGTATGGACCCAAGAGGTGACTCGTACGGACTCTAGAGGTGACTCCCACTATAGCACTTAGTTCCATACAACACTTTGTTCCATACCAGAAATCAATAGGTTTTAAAGACTGAACAATTCATATCATGTCATAGCATAAATGAAACAGATAAATGGAATGGCTTTGGGCTCACCATATCATATTACAAACAATTCACATTTTTTGTTCATAACTCATTTCAGACTTCTTGGAAACTTGTGCATTTTAACAAAATACAATATTAAAAGATCATGTCATACATAAATCAAAATACATAATGAAAAACATATCTTTTCTATACTATTACTCACAGTGATTTCCAGAAATGGTTGACTGGTCCTCGAATCATGACCTGCAAACACAATGCGCATGGCACAACATATCAGAATATAGAATTACTCTTTTGATCAAATCTACTTCTCTTAATCTTTTTTTAACCAAATAAATCAATCCCTTACTTTGCTTCTTAACCAATTATTTTTGTTGGTTCTAAGCTCATTAGTCCTCAATGGGTCATAATCCGTGTCTAGGAAAATAGGAAGAAACGAAAGGAAACTGGGTTAGAAGAGGAAATAGCATGAAAAGGTTAGAAAAAAAAAAGTGAATAGCCTTCACTAATTTGA